ACACACACACACACACACACACTTAATAGAAAACCACAGAGTGACAGATAAAGACTGGAAGACATTTTTTTTTTCCCCCTGTAAGAAAGTTGATATGTGAGATGGTTCTCACAACATCAATACAACAAGACCGTTGACAGCCATGCTAGAGGTGAGGTTTTACTAATGCACAGTGGTGCTTTGAGCTAAATATTATTGTCAACATGCTAATACACTCACGATAACAATGTAGAAACGCTTAAGGTCGCGTCTGCAAAACACTCTTAATTCTGATGGGAATGACATTAATAATTAGCATTATCAGATTATTTCTGCCCACTTAGGGGCAGCATAGACAAGATGGGAACACATCACTGACATGTCACATTTTGGTGAAAATCTATACTTGATTGCAACTTATTTACATCTCCGTTACAGAGCAAAATACCTGATCATTTGGACATTTTCTTAGTCCAATATTCATCCTCCTTTTAGCTCCGCTTTTGGCCTCTATCAAATATGAATATGTGACTGATATCTTATCTTGGCTGCTAAACTCCACTATATTCAGTTAATACATAGTCATGTATTTTGAAGCTGAGCAGGGGGTGCACAGTGGTTTTTAGGAGCTATGGAGCTGAAAACATTCTCTAGCAGCCAAAAGTGATGACGTAGATTGCACATCAATCGGATAATGAGCTGAAACTTGCCCTAAAGCTTTGTTAAGACAAGCAAAGCCACAGTATGTTTTTCTGTTGGGTCATCACTACTAGTAACCCATTTCATGTTGTCACTTGATGTTCTGTTAACAATATAAATTACCACTGCTTAAGGGCTCATTAAGGTTATTACAATTTAACCTGAGGGTTCCATGAATGTCTGAACAACTACCAATTATTCTGCGGTAATTATTTAAGTTAAAACAGTAAATTATGGTAAAGGGAAGTAAATACAAGGACAATCTGAAATTCATATGACCACAAATGTGCGTACAATTGTGTTTCTCATCCAACTTATCAAAAGAGCCTTGTATTCAGCACGATGACAAAACATTCTCATCTCAAGGAACAAGCCTTATTAAAGGTTTAAAAAGCATCACATGGTTTTCCTCAGCTAATGTACCTGACAAACAAAATCCAAAATCAGTGCAAGGAGGAAACAACCCAAATGTCTTTGCCCCAATTAAGTAACTATAATTGCAAACAAATGAGTGGTAACAGCAGTTAAATGTATAAAAAAGATATCATGTTAAGATAAGTTATACCTCAGGTTTGGAGTGCTATCTTAATAGTACCTGATAATAAAAAAGGAGAGATAGTGGCAAAAGACCGTATCAGGAAACCAAACATCCAGACTTTGACTGGATGTTTCCTGTTTTTGTGGGGTGGGGCAGACAGCAAACAGCTTGGGTGTGTTCAAAGTAAGGCACTTCTTTTAAGGCAATCAACAACATTATAAAATATGACTGATGACTACATAGAAAAAAAAAACACACAAAACACACAAGAAGAAAGATTCTCTGCCGGCTTCAGTGAGAACTTTAGTGCAGACTTCAGTGAATAAAAGTGCAGACATTTAATGCCTTTTAATTATTCACATATAGTAGTTAGTTAGCTCTGAGATGTACCCAGTCATGCCCATTCCCTCTCCCTCCACACCCACACTGACTTGCCTTGCATGGTGCATGCTTGGCCCATGCACCACAAACACACACAGAGGCTGGTAATTACCCTGGTTAGATGGTTGTAATGACAGAGTTAGCACAGGAGCACAGCTTCCAGAGGAATGAGTGCACTCAACATGGAGGAGGTGCCACTGTTGCTGCTGCTCTGCCACAGAAATGTGGACAGACCTGAGATCAGTGCGGAGAACTTGTCACAAATGGAAATGAACAGAGATGAGGAGGGATAGACCAGCCATGCGTTTCTGTCAGAGCCAAACAGCACATAGTCTAATTATATCTGCAGCAGGGATGTTAACACCATGCACATGAAAAAAATATACATTCAGTACATAGACCAAAAGAATCTACAACCATCTAAACAATAATCAAATGCAAACATAAACCAGCGTAACAAGGAAAACAAACTCCAGGCTTAAACACTTACTGTTAAATGTTTAGATACAGCGAATGACAAGTGCGAGCTACATTCATTGTGAGTTGGTTTGAAGAACAGATGGTGGTTCATATGAATGGCAGACGTATACAGTACTGGCAGGGACACACGGGGGGACCCTCTTTCATGTCACTATGACCTCAGAAGCACAGAACAGAGCAGGAGACCAGGGCCATCACAGGTCGGCCACATCAACCTCAAGTTTTTTAAAGCCAGATGATTTGGTGAATTAAAAAACTCAAGGGAGGTTTATTCAGGATATAACCTCAGGTCATATAAAACAGTCTGTAAGGTGTGTCGTCGCTTTAAATGTTGCTGCCGCACAGAATAGTGGGGTCGCTTTTTCTCCTTTCCTTTCAGAAATGATGGTCCATAGTTTTCTATGCTTAAGATAAGTGAGGAAGCACTGAAGCTCCTTATCCTTTAGATAATTTGAAATGCTCTTATTTTGGAGGGCACTGACATACAAAATTACAAATTTTCCATAACATCCATTAATAATTTCCTGGGAAATTAGTGAAAATGTTGCGAATAAATTCCTTTGGTCAGCCCTGATCTGGAGCCACACCAAAATTGAATGGGTTATTTCCTGACTCATCCTGCATCCTTCCACCTAGTTTCATGGAAATCCGCACAGTAGTTTTTGTGCAATCTTGATGACAAACATGTATCTACAGTCAGTATGAACAGGGCGATTACTGCAATGACTAAAAGATATTTCAACATTAGTACATATATTTCATTCAACAGGCGTCAATGTTTCTGTCCGTCTCATTTCTGTAGGCGTACTTGACAAACGGAGCTGCAAGCCCCTGCTTTTAACCTGGCCTCACTCTTAAACCAGGATATATGACAATAGTGTTTACTTTCCCTGCTGCAGGAAAATGTCCCCCACAAAAGTCTTGATTTTGCCATCATTAGCACAAGCCTCATGTTAGACAGCAAAATCAGTCATAACAATGCAACTGCATGGTTCAGAAAGAGATGTAAGACTTTTGAAGAAACTTAAACTCCAAGTAAGATGACATTTTAACTTGTTTAATGGTCATACCGACGACACAATGAAAGACTGGTATGACTGGTACAGCCTGGAAATATCAAACAATATTTTTATGGCATCTATATCACACTTATTGTCACAACTTCTGAGTCATATCAAACCTAGATGAGCAGTAGAAAGTGGATGGTTAAATTTATTAAAAGATCCACATGTGAATTTTACCTCACGTCTGAAACAACTGAGATTTTTCCTCCAGCTTTTGCTGCAATCAAATAAAAGCATAAGAAACATATGGCTTGGAAGAAAAAATATTCAAGACTGAGAGGATGCCTCAGAAAAAATTGAGCCCCATTTACAGGCTGACCAGTGTCTATTCCATCAACAACAAAACCTCTACAGGAAACTCTGAAAACAACATTGACATGTCAGAACGCTGGACTGGAAGGAAACACACAGCCAAAGCCTTGGACTCTGGTCTATATTGGGCTTGTAAGTGTGTTTGTCTTATCTTGAGGCGACATCTCTCTATCTCAGAATGAGGCTGAACTGAAATGCAGCTCTCCCTGTCTCCCTGCTTTCCTCTCCACTCACTTTCCTCCTCCAGTCTCTCCCGACCTCACTGTCATTGTCTCCATTGATTTCCGTCTAAATTGTTTTGCAGAATCCCGCTGATGTTGCTCGTGTCACTTCTATCTGCCTGTTTGTCTGTCAGGCTGCCATCCCATGGCACTGACACCGCTCGAGAGGAGGATGATGACAAGGAGGAAGATCAGGGGTTGGTGTGAAAAGAGCAAGACTCATTGAGCATGTGAGAACACTCACAGTCAGAAACCTGCATAATAAGTATAATGCTTTGGATTCAGTTGGAGAATTATAAATTGCAGCCAACATCACAGTTCATTATCATTGTTACTCTCTGGTTTATCTGCGAGAGACAAATCAGACGACTGGCATCTGAGGTCAAAGAAAAAACATAGGGAAGGAGATGAGTATCTAAATGTTCAGATACTGTAGTACTTCCATAAGATTTCCCTAGTGGCCTTCAGTTTCCTCAAATTATCCAGTTCATCGCCAAAGACTCACTTTCTTTTTACGTTGAATTTCTCACAGTGGAGGAGAGCGGAAGTCAATGTGCCGGGAGCTGCGGCTCAAGGGCATTTAAAGATGGTAGAGACTCACCAGCAGCGGTGTCATAAAGCCCAGATGTCTAATTGAACGAAGGCCTTTCTTATATTAAGCAGATGTACTGAATAATATGAACACATTGTCCTTGATAGTGCTTCTACAAGTAGTAGTAAATAAAATTATATGTATAAATATATTAGTTTCCCTAAATTTGGATTGTTGTTTGGAGAAGAAAACAAGACATTTGATAAGTCACCTTGGGCTCAAAGACTGTGGTGCGCTGTTTACATGTTTAATTGATTGGTAAAGAAAATTACCAGGTTGTTGCTATATATGATATAAGAGAATGTATGGCTAATTCAGTTATAAACAATCTACAGCATAATCAACACTAAACTAATATACTCAGAGGGGAAACAGCTTAAACTCAAGTCAACCTAATTATTGTTTAAACTTGTTTATTGATTGTTTGTTTGGGCAATAATATGTTGTTGTTTTGTAAAACAAAAAAATGTCCATCACACATTCTGGAACTAGAATATATAACATAATAAAAAAATGCAGAAGTCAGGGATCGGCAGAGAAATGCTCACGATTACCCATAACACCCAACACAACCCATAACAAATGTTGGGTTTGAATTCAGCCAATCGTTACAACCTGACAAATCTATCCCGCCAAACCTTACAACTAAAATAAACAATGCCTGATGAGGGATTAAATTGCACACCTTCAAAAACACAGACACACAACATAACACAGAAGGTGTAAATGATACCTTGTTCTGCCTTCAGCTGCAGGTGAAACGGGTGTGGTGAGGTCTGGCGTCCCAATACAGGAAGAGGAAGCCGCGTATTTTACTCTGTAGAAAAACGGATGTAGAAATGAAGTTTAGTGCTTTTCAGTGCTAGACACAGTTCAGCTCAAACTCTGGAGTTAATTTTCAGTTATTAAAAGAACTCAATGTTTTTTGCCTTGCATGTGTTATGAGTTTTGCTTTATGCATAACAGACACACAACAGACAGAACCACATGTGTCATATTGACGTTTGTATGGTATTTCTCATAATCTGTGAGTGGCAGTAATAATTGAGGACATGCGTATATGTGTGTTGCAGCAGAGCAGCTGTAATCAGTTCCACGCTCGTCAGATCATCCACATACACACGCCTATTGTTTAAGAGGAGTCTGATGCCTGGGGGTGGTCTATCTGTACTGTAAACACATTTGCATACACACACACACTGGTTTGCACACAAACAGAGCTTTAAACACCACTGTGGCCTCTGTAAAAACGTATGTGCTTTTAATATCAGCTTAAATACTGAACCAGAAGTGATGTGTATAGAAACAAAAACAGCTGAACTGCTACAGACGGAACAAATGACTGTGCCCCTCACTGTCTTCATTGACCTATATCTCCATCATCATCTACGTCCACCTTTTAGCTGTTTCTCATACAAAAATAGATGGATAGATGAATGGAAATACAGAAAAAGAGAGGAGGCAAAGTGAAGGAGGCTGTGCATTGTGATTAGAGGTCGAGGGGGGAGGGATCCTCAAGTACAAGTAGGACATGAAGAGTGGGTGAAGTGGGGCCAGGGGGTGGGGGTGGTTGGGGTTCTGGTGGGAATCAGCACACATAATGTCCTGAGGGGGAGGCCCATTACTGTCTGAAAAATACATTTCCAATCAATACTGATCAATCAGGGTCCACTTATCCTGCCACGGCAAGCTTAATAACACTGTCCTTAGCAGAGGGGGGGAGCAGGAGTGGACAAGGTTCAGTGATTGTGTGTGTCTATTTTCTACAGAAAGGCATCAGCTCATAACAAAGCTGGAATTATCATCATGGATTTAAGGCTCACGCTTCAATCTACTGCTCTGAAAATGAAATAAAACAGTAGGTAAAAACCCAGCCGTGGCAGAGTGGCATTCACACCTTTCTGTCTGCAACCGTTATCACATACACTCATACACAAGTGGGATCAAATTCCAAGTTAGACCTACAGCTGCATGCGTACTTAAAGCCACATCTATTAGTCTTGGTGTTGACAGAAAGTTCATCTGCAATGATTTTGGTTGTATAATCTGCAGATTAATCAATAATGGAAACAATCATTAGTTACAGCCCTACACACACAAGCATTGACATTTGGAGCAAAAAAATAATATTTGTATGGTATTGCTAATGTTGAGATAAATTTAAACTAGCAGCTTGTAAATATTATTTAAACAGAAGATTTCATATGTCTTTGAGGCCATAAATATGCTATGAAGCTAAATTAAATGTAGTTATCAGCAAATATAGGACATTTAAATGTTTATTAATGTACAGTATTTTTGAACACTTATAAGCGGAGGCTGCTGTACTATCAACAGATATGAATGACTATATGGTAAGAAAATGCCTGATATAGGAATAGTTATAGGTGCTATATAATACATTCATAAAAATTGCACATTTATTAAATGGCATTGAGCTGCTTATAAATCTAAATGCAGGTTAAGTGTTGCCTTTGTGTTTTTACCTCAAATTTAAACACTGGCTTCATCACGTAATGTCATTTCAACTGATGCCCACTGCAGATACTGCAGATGCCATTCAGTAGCAGTTGTGTTTGTATGGAGTTTTGATGCCTCAGGCTGCAGCCAGCATGGCATTAACAGTTCTTCACATAGGCCAGCCGATACTTGAATCACAAGTCGTGGCCACACATGAAATTAGTGATATGGTCAGAAGGTCAACAGAAGCAGTGAAGGGACTCACAGAGAGCGAACCACAAACACAAAACTACAGCCTCACAAACTGCCACCAGGTTGAATCATCACCTCTGTGACTCAAATTCAGCTTTAAATGTTTGGTGTGAGGATCAGAATGCTGGTTTCTGTGGTTATGCTACTATTCCTGAAGTACCTGCACCTGAGCATTTTTTTTTCAACCATTTTCTTATGTCAACACAACACTGGCAGAAAGATGTTGATCTATAATAGCATGAACAACCTGTACAGTCCTCTTGGTCTGATGAAGCAAATGTGTCAGAGGATGAAGACAAACAACCTCTGTGGCTCCACAAACAGCACATCCACCACATCAGTGAACCTTCACTTGGACTAGTGAAATGTGGACAAGAGACGTCCAAACCTCTGCCTGTTGGAAAGTCAACTAGGTGTCATGTGCTTGCTTCTTTGCCTTGACAAACCAGTTGCAGAGGATTTCTCAGGGTCTCTTGCATAATGTCTACTCATTATCAACAGTCTCTGCAGCCATCTGGGAATCTCTATGCCATTGATGACATAAATGGAGGGTCATAACGATGTATGTTGAGAAGAACCTGTTTGCAGACACTCAGTGTTGCACTAAATGCACCGCAAGCCCAAAGTTAAAACGGTTGGGAGGCGTGTGACCAGCCGAAACTATGCTGTGCGCTAGAAAAAAAAGGTAATTGTGTAGGGACAGGAAGCTTGAGATTGGGGCTTTGTTGATGTCGTGGAGTTTTAACTTTCACAGAGCCAGAACAGAGTTGGCGTCCACCCTCTGTGTGCACATACTGTATGTTTACAGTACAGTGGAACCACGAGTTTAGCATAAATAATTCTATCAATAAATAAATGAATCTGCTGTCTAATTACAGTAGAAGGGCCCACACCGTTGATGGGATAAAAAAGAAAGTCCATGTGTGAGTCTGCAGACGTGTCAGTGCCTTCACCATTACTGGTATTATGTTGTGATTAAGATGGGATTACTGTCACAAGTCAGAAGCACGAATATTTCAGAGCATTTAGGGTGTCAGAGCTCAGCCTTGAAGTTTCCCTTCACACTGTGAGGTGAAAAGCAGCAGGAGGAACAGACGATCACGATATCTGTGCCGCCTCAGACTGATGCTCCTCTACTTTCATGTCTGGACCTCAAGTGAATGCAGCATTAATCCACAGCAACATCTCACAGAAGTTTCAAATATTTAGCACCTTCATGAGTTCATCTGTTGGTATTAAAGGAAAAAATGTTAATTCCCTTTTTCTCTTTCCACTTGTGTGCTATATAATTTTTTTGTGTATTTACAAGTTCTGCAACGTTAAAAAGCCCACAGTGATGGGAGCTCCTGAAACACCCTGTCAATAGTCCAACTGATAGTTCCACGGAATAACAATGTCCTGTGACATCACAATGGCAGACAATTTGCAAAATGCACACCTGTCTAACACGCCCCCAAAACTTAAACACACAAAACCTAGCATTTCGGACAGAGGCTGAAAAGCGGAGCTGCAGCAATGGAAAGTATGAGGAAAGTGATGTGATGTGTGTATGTAAACCTTTTCAAGTAATAATCCAAATTAAAATAATGAACCTTAACATGCCAGAGTATGATATGTCTTCTTTAAACTAAACATACAAGGCAATTTATGACAGAATAATGAATCATCAAGTTTGCTAAGTCATTATATACAAAAATATGAACAGTTTATCTTTTACTTGTAATTTTGCTCTTCGGAGACAATAATTTACTGAATATGCACGGATTGACATAAACCACATCTCACTTCAGTGTCCTTTTTCTTTTTTTTTACATATTATGCCGTAGCGTAATGAATACACATGCTACAAGAGAGGGAGGGAACCCCTTGCACTGAGGGGTGGGAGCCCCATTCACACTCCAACACACAGGGGTGGGGACTGCCACACTTTCATCCCTTTCACATCTCGGTCACACCTCACGCCCCTCAGTCCCCCTCTGTGATTCTCGCGGCCTAGTCTTATACGAACTGCGACAGTTAGCAATGGTTATGGCCACGAAAAAAAAGAAAAGGATTTGGAAGGTTTGTTTCATTTGTTCCTCACAAGTGAACGACATGTGGCTCTGTCCAGCTGTGAATATCTTCATTGAGATGAATTCAGGATGGAGTGGGAGTGTCGCATGAGGGAAAAGCAACAGAGAAGCAGCAGAGTGAAACCAGACAGTGTGCTCTACAAGTATCACTGTGTGCTGTGAATAAATCAAGCTCTGATCGATAAGCAGCTGATCAATACAAGTGAGATGTTATTCTAAAAATGAGATTGATGATCAGCAGAGTTCAGTGTTCCAGTATGAATCTGCAGAGTAAGCATGCACAGTTTGCATTATCTGACCAAACACTTAATACTGCTGTCCAACAGGTCAACAAAACTTGATATCCATCAGAACTATTTCAAATTGTGATTATACAGGGCCCATTTAAGACTTTAAAGACTTTTCCACATTCATTCTGACCCAATCAGGAAAAATATCAGTAATAACAATTACAATTGTTTATTGACATTTATATAACATTTCTGTCAGTGACTTCCAGCAGTATATTAACATAGTTATTAATAGTACCCTAACTCAATCATTAAACATGTCTTAGACCTGGATAAGCATTATAATGATAATTGAATAGACAGACAGATGAACCGATTAAAAACATAACTATTAAAAGGTCCACATGAGAGGTCAGGTATTGGCAGTAATGGTACTGGAGAATTTTAGGTTTTCTTATTTTTCTAGAATCCGATATAAAAACATTTAAGGCCTCTGTTAATTAGATTAAAGCCTTTTTAATCCCTTTAATTGCTATTTTAATGGAAACTGAAATCAGTACTTAATAAGGCCTGCAGATACCCTCTTATTTACTCCAATGGTCATTTTTGGAAAACCCCATTTAACTCACAAGTACATAGGTTTATTTCAAATATTAATATCTTTTAAAAACTAATATGTCTTATTATTTCTGGATAAGAAACAGATGATTGTGCTGTGTTAATGATATTCCAACCTGAGCTTCCTTGACATAAACAAAAGCAATTACACCCAAAAATCCTATACTTCTTAATTTTGTAAGAAT